CATATTCCCTCCAAGATAAAACAATCAGGTGAACGTTTCTCACTCGTCTCTCCAGGGTTGCTGTGATGGTTTTCTGCCTGTTAGAGCATGCAGGGTTGCTAGGAGCTCAGAAACTGTGGGATCTCTTTCCCTCTATTACCATTTCTCTCTTGCCGTCTCTGAAACTCTACCCTTCACCTGTTGAAACCTCTCTCTCTCTCTCCTGCTCTCAGTCTCCCTGTTTTTCTCTTTCATGCCTGAGAGTTTCAGGAAGTGACTAATAAAATTCCATGGGCATGTTCCAGCTACCCAAAAGTCCCCTGCAACGACTTCACAGGGTATTTGACCACCTCAAGCAAGATTCCAGATTGTAGGAAGTGTATATGTTTATTCACTGCTAAAGATGTAGTGAGCAACTGGATGTCACCTCTCAGTATAATTGGCTCAATATTATGTAATTATTAAAAGTTTCCCTGTATAATTATTTTTAGCAAGTTTTGTAAGCATGTTATTTAAAGCAGTATGAAAGTTTATTAAAGATTCATAAAATAAGACCTTGTGATATTTTAATAAATAGTATGCTGACATAAGCAAATTAATAAAAATAATAAAATATTATAGTTTTTATTATGATTTATTTATTTTTTTGCTTTTGGAAAGGTGTTACAGTAAAGTTTTCATGTGCCTTTAATGTTGTAAATGTCAAATTGAACAAATGAGCATATTGCCGTTAACATGCATAAACATTAAAAATCAATATAACATAATATAACATAAACAGCAAAAATCATATAGCACTACAACTTTTGGTATGAAGAATCATATGAAATTAAATGTTCTATTAATAATTATACCACCATTCAAAATGTTTGGGGTCGGTAAAATGTTTTACATTTGTTTTTTAAATAAAAACAGTTATAGTGTGGAATAAAATAGTAGTTTTTTTTCTGTTTTAATGTATTTTACTATATTAATATAATTTATTCCTGTGATGGCAAAGCTGAATTAAACTTTTTAAGATATTTTGGATGAAAACCGGGAGGCTTGTGACTGTCCCATTGACTGCCAAGTAAATAACACTGTCAAGGCCCAGAAAAGTATGAAAGACATCGTCAAAATAGTCCATCTGCCATCAGTGGTTCAATCTGAATTTTATGAAGCTACGAGAATACTTTTTGTATGCAAAGAAAACAAAAATAACGACTTTATTCAACAATTCGTCTCCTCCGTGTCACCGTAGCGCCATTTTGGAGAATATCCACTGAACATAAACAACGTATGCTGTTCTGTGTCAGCCGCATCACACGGATACGCTGTTTTTGTTCAAATCAAAGCGTAAACAAACGTATAAATAGATGCATTGTATACATTTATATAAATGAAAGTTTGGCTATTTCTGTTTATTTAAAGTGCCCCTTATATGCCTTTTCGAATATTACCTTTCATGCAGTGTGTCATGTAGCTGTATGTGAACATAAACTATCTGCAAAGTTGTGAAGCCGACAGTGCACTATAAATAAAGTTATTGTCTATAAAAAAAAAAGTCAGCTCGCAATCGCCTAAACGAGTCATCAGGAATTAGAATGTTATTCTGTTAGGGCTCTACGTCACGAAGTAACACATTTGCATAATGTCTGCCCACGTTCTACGTCGCCAACTTGCCTGCCCACAAACAGTAAAATTTCTGTGTGGTTAACATGTCGAGAAGACGCTGTATCTTACGCTGTGAGAGTAAATTATTATTATCTTATAATTACCACAAACTTGTTAACACTTGACATTTACCACTGAGAAACGTTCTGCTCCAGTCGTGCTTGCGAATCAGTCTCTTGTCAATCAGCCAGTTCAACCGTTTCATCATCAGACTCCGGCTTGAATTGGTAAGGTACAATCGATACCATCTTTTCTATGTATTGACAAGTCTCCAGGGCTGTCATTCCGTCATGGTAATGGGCGTTTCGCTTCCGACACGCGCTGTACGTGGTAGACTAATCCAGAGCCAATCTCTCTACGGCTCTGGACCAATCACAAAGGACTGAGCTATCTGACCAATCACAGCAGTGAGGGCTCACAGAAAGGAGGGGTTTAAAGAGATTGATTCTTTGAATTGCTTCGCACGAGTTGTTTACGAATAATTTAGAAATTAGGTAAAATTAAATCTATTTTTTGAGAAAACTAACGTGTTTCTTGACCTTGCAGACTCATAAAACAATATTAGCAACCTTAAAAATGGCATAATAGGGGCACTTTAAACAATCCCTAAGTGTTTCCAGTTTAATAATGTTCCAAATAAACACCTTTTGTTCCAATTGTCTGCACAAGCCCTGCTCAGTGTGAATGCTGCGTGCCCTGCGAATCAGAATACAGCTCTGTTTTCTGTCTTCTCTCAGCATGGCAGGTAGAGGTTTGTAATTGTATTTAAAGCTCTCATTTGACTCAAGCCCCTGCTGGTAAAGAAGACAAGCATCAGTTTCAGCATCCATTTCAGCCCTGCTCCCAATTACAACCGGCACGAAAAAAACAGAATGATAGATGAGGAGAACAAGAGAAAGAATAAGACTGACCCATGCAGAGCTTTGGCTTGCTTGCCTTCCTTCCTTTTCAGATCTCTTTGTGAGACACACGTCCTCCAGAAGTCTCGCCTGTGATCCAGATCAGTGGCGCTTCAACAGAAATCCTGCCCTAAAGCATCTATCTGACGATGAAAAGCCAAGCACACAGCTTTGGATCGCTGTTATGGCTGCCCGGTCTCATTTTTCTAAGCAAAGCTGAGCCGGATATATCAGCGTGGAGCTTGTCGGATAATGATATGATGGTATTTTCTCATGTTTCTGCTAATTTTTTTGGACTGTAATTAAAATGAACGCTAGTTTCTGAAAAGTCAGCATGAATCCCAGTTTGTGGTATGTCACAATATCCAATGAGAAAAGTGGGATTTTTCCCCATTTAATTTCTTCAGCTGCAAAACTTTTTTTTTCTTTTGAATTACTGAGTGCATTTTTAAGAAAGCAAGCAGCATCCATTTTGGTGTCAAGTTGACTTTTCAATAATAAAAACAGTTATTTGCCTTCATTCACTTATTGCAGGCATTCAGGCTGTAAATGACAGAGAAATGCTGTCGTATCTCTGTGACGGTCGTCTCACTGGGTGGCAGAAGCCATTAACAGCGTCAAATCAAATTTCCACTCAATTTGAGTGATATCAAATTACGCTTTTGAATTGGCATGGTGATGCTTGTATTAATCTCCGGTGGATTTACTGTTCATTAGCATGTCTTATGTCATAAGTGGCGGCACAATCGATGTTGAGCAATCGTGCCATTTCCCGAAGAGCAACCGTAATAAAGCCAAGACCTCGGCTTCTTCTTCTGTTTCTGTTTTTTTTCGCACTTCTCATTAAATTCCTCTGTAACACCCCACCCTTACAATACCTCTGCTGGTGCCTGTGTTTCTGCTGTGCACATCAATTTTTCTGTGCTGATGATTGTAATGTGGATGCCAGAGGCTGAGACGGAGCACAATTGCACCAGTAAATGACTGCTGCCAGTTGGTTGCAGTGTGAGTGTTTTTGTGTGCATGTTTGTGTGTCTGTGTTTTTTTCCTCAATTTGTTCTTATTGCCTGCACACTCCCCTGAGGTACTTGTGTCGACGGTTGCTCTATTTTTGCAGGATGAATGTTTGTACAGTTCAAGGGGCAGCTCTCTGCGAAATGTTAGATTTTAAAATTGTTGCTTTTTTTTTTTACCTCCCGCTTAGGTAAGCGGCTGAGGGCCGCCTCCTGTGCCTCACCCTGAAGAGCTGTTTTGTTAAATCACTCAGTTGCACCTTTAAACACGCCATTCAAACCCTTCAATGCACACGGCATATTTTGAGATCATGTGCGAAGCATTTCAACAGCCAATTTTACCTGTTCACCTTTGAGTAACTACGCCCATCAGTGCCACTCATGCAAAATCCCCTGTCCCTTCTGTGTTTATTTATGGAAATTAGATGTTTTCTGAGAACAGTTTAGAACTCTTGAGCGCCACTGAACACATTTCACCGTATTTAAATGCATTTCGCAGAATTTGCCTCAGAAATACTTCTTAGAATGTTCACTAACATGAACCAAACAGCTGTTAGTTTGAGGTGATATATTAGCAACAGTCAAATGAAAATAAAATAGTATCCAATTTTATTTTCAGCTGAAAAATGCATGTCTTATATAAAGATATTTTAGAGAAAATTAGAAATTGGTTAAAAAAAGATTATGTAAATTAGAAGACCAGCTGGCTTTTATGTAATGATCATGACTCATTAAGTGCATAACATTACATTCAATGCAAAAAATATTATAATTATTAAGTAGTAATATTTTGCAATTAATTAATACATTTATTTATTTATACATTTTGTAATGTTTTATTTATTATTATTTCATATGTACAGGGGAAAATTAAGTAGATTGAGTCTAAAACAATTGCTGCAACTATATAATGTTAGAAATAAGAGCAGAAAATCTTGAGCTGGCTTTTCTGTAACAATTTATTCAAATACATAAATTCATAGCCGAAATTGTTATTATTATTATGTAATCATATTTTATATATTATTTTTTATATAATGTTAAAACAATCATTATTTTAGAGGTGCAGGGAAAAATTAAGCAGCTGGATTGGCTGTGAAAAAACACTGAAAACAACTAATTCTTCCAGTCTTGACAACTGTATTGATTATAATGGGTGTGACTAATTTAGTAAATCATGATGTGTCGGTTGCATCTGGTGTAATTTACCTATAGACTGTTTTTAGTTATCCTAAATTACTTTTCCTCAAGTATGAAAATAATGTGTAAAAATAAAATGTAAAGGTGCTAAAAGTCAAGGCGAAGTGTCAAATATAAAAAGGGTGTTTGCTGTATACCATTTAAAATGTTGTCTTTAGTATTACATCCTGACTCTTTCAAGTGCAGTCCCTCCAGCACGTACATGAAGATTAATCTGAATCTGTATTCTGACCATCCTTTTCTTTCTCTGGGGCAGGTCTTTCGCAGTGGAGAGGGCATGGGTATCAGGCTGGACAGCGCATCTGCTTTCCAGGGTGCTGTCATCTCCCCTCATTACGATTCCCTCCTGGTGAAAGTCATCGCCAGTGGAAAGGATCTGCCGGCGGCCTCTGCCAAAATGAGCCGAGCTTTAGCGGAGTTCCGCGTCCGGGGGGTCAAGGTAAGCCTTTTCTTGACAACAGTGCTTGCATAAACGATCAGGGGCAGCATGAGTGTGATCAGTGGAGACCTTTGGAAATCGCTTCGGTTGCACCTTTAAAGGTGCTGTGGTTTCAAAAATAAACTGAAATTGTGTGTGGCGTTATTATAGTGTGCTGGTCAAATACGTAGATTTTTTTTTAGAGCAAATGTTATGCATTCTGTTAATTCCTTTAGATAAAATGCAGCTTTGCTCATGAATATTAATCATGTTGGCAGCATCTAATTAATATTCAGTATGCTCAGTAGTCCTCGCCTTAATATAATGCCAGCTACGCTCCTGGTCAGAGCGCACTATGCCAAAAATGATAACTTCCTTTGAAAAAGCAAGCATGACAGGAGCACAGGAAGCCTGACGTGACAAACTGAGACAGAGTAAGCGATCAGACGGGAAGTGGTTTATTTTCGTGATGGAACCTATGGATTCCCTTTCCCCCTGTTAAATGTGTTGTTCTTTTGAAACACATCTGAGCAGCAGACACTTCACGGTCTTGTCACCCATCATGCTGGTTGCCATCTGAGGCTCTGATCAGATCTTGAGTGAGCTGGAGCTAAAACATTGCCATTTTGAAGATCTTGAGTTTTCTTTCCCTTTTTTAAAATCTCCCACACATAAGCCTGAACACACTGGATGAGTCAGGTTAGAACGTAAATGGTAACATGCACGTATAATATGTATTTATCAGCATAATGTGATCAGAGTTGAAGTAATGGCACTAATGGCACTCTCGGATAAAGGGTGCAGACCTCACCATTTTCTGATGTGCCGCTTTTGGAGGAAGGGAGGGGTGCAGATGAGAGAAGTTGTCATGGAGTGTTTGCACTTAATCAGCCTGAATAACATAAATGTGTTTACATAAACCATTAGGGAAGGAGCTTTTCCTGTAAGCATCTTCAGAAGTTAGTTTTGGAGACTATTAAGAAAATCTGTCTTTGTTTTGCTTGCTTTAATCGGAGAGTATTCAGAATGCTGCATTTTATTTGGGATGAAACAAGGATGTAGACTGTAAAAACTGAGCTGTCTATAAAGGGAAGGATTTAAAGAAATGGTTCACTCAAAATTAAAATTGTAAACTTTTACCATGCATGGCATTAAGGTACCTCTGTATTTTTTCTGAGGTGTATATAATAAGTTGTGGAAATTCGTTCTGTAATTTAGTGCTGCAGGGCTATTGCGTAACACCAAGATCATTGGCTTTCTCGTTAACATCAATGTCAAAATGTTTGAAGATGTCCAATCAAATTAAAGTAGGTGGGCTAAGCATGATTTCCAGACTGACTCTTCAGTTGACGGTTATAATGTGCGAAATATGACTTAATATTTGTCAGCTGTTTTACAATAGAAATGGTAAATGACTGGCAGAATTAATCAGGGATTCAAAATAATAAACATTATCTAATTTCCCTATTTTGAATTGAAAATATGTAATTTATGTGATTCATGTAATTCGTAATTGTCAATGTGCTGAGACAAGAAACACTAACAGAGCCGTTTACAGCATATTAGGCGTAAGATTAATAATGAATGTGCACATATTGTGAGTGAATTTAATAAACTTTAGTTACATTGCTTTCCTGGTAGCCTTTAGCAAATTCATTTCTAATATTCTAATAAAATGATTCATAAAACATACATATAAATATCAGTGGACCAAATGTTTGCTTTCTTCACTGACAGACGAAAATGAAAAGAATCTATTACTCAAAGTTCAGCTATGGGAGACTGAGTGAAATAAAAAGGTGAAGAGAAAGAGCAGATACTTATGGTTTTGGAACAACATGAGGGTGAGTCAGCGATGACAGAATTTAGATTTTTGGGTCAACTAATCCTTTAAGGTATCAAAGGCACGTGACATGAAGAATGTTCCAAAATGCAGACTGAATTAATTATGCTGCATCATAAAACATCCAAAGTCTTAATGCAGAATTGCGTGGGTTTTTTTGCAGGAAGGAAATCCCAGAATACATTGTGACACTCCGAAATAAAAAAATAAAATAAAAATGTTTTAATTTGACATGAAAATGAATAAATATTTGTGTATCTTCATGATTATTAGAGCATTATGTTGTTAGATTAGCAGCAAGTTTGATAAACCTGTTTCTTGGCTAGTCAAGTTTCCCCTTCGGAGTGCTTTTTGTCTAGCATGCAGAGTTACATGTTGGACAAAGCCGAACTACAGTCACATTATTTAGGACCTGTTCAGGTGAAGGGCGATAACTTTAATGATAACTATAAAGTGTTAATAATCATTCTAATTCTTTGAAAATAGGAAAGTCAACACTGTATTGAATGATAAAAACATTAGCTCCTTTTACACAGTCTTTACTGGTAAATGAACGGTAAATTACCATTAAGAGATTATGCGTGAACAGGATCTTTTCAAAAATATTGGGTGATCCTTCTTGCAATTTACCAGTATGAGAAGTTGTAATATTACCAGTAAATTTCCAGTAATCTGCTATGTGTGAACGCAGAATGAGATTACCAGTATGAGCACGTACAACGTCAGAATGCGCTGACAAATAAGTCTGCTTTGGGCCAATCATAAAATTCTTATGGAGATGGCATGATTACTCTGAGCTATTTACAGTGAACTCTGCTGCTTTTTATTAGTTTTTCTATGTAAATATGCCCTAGATGGACACCGTTGCACTATGTCTTGCAGCTTTTTCAACGTGTCGCGCTCAAGACCCTGCCTTATTTTCTATTCATCAGTGCTGCGACTCTACAACTGAATAATATTATGCGTATCTCATGGTTATAAGAGCAAAAATGCGTTCTGTTTGATCATCCCCTTATGCCACTATGTCACTCAGACTTCAAAAATGTAGTCAAATTGGACAGATGTTGAAATTAAAGTGCTTCGACTCATGTGGGCGAATGAAGACAACGGCGCAGCTAAAAGATCATTTCAGATCAGAAAGATCATTTCCTATGTCTGACATTACAGAATTTACCGGTATTTGGTGTTGATGTGTGAATGGTCTCTTTACCGGTAAAAAGCTAGAATGCTGTTGCCTGTGTGAACAGCATTTTTGTGTATTTACCGGTCAAGTCATTCTGGCAATTTTACGGTAATTAACCGGGATTGCTGTGTGAAAGAGACTATTGACAGATTCCATCTGACTTTAAAGAGCTTGGACATTTAAAGAAGATAACAAAAATAAACAGAACATTATTGTGTGTTGGTGTGGGCACTAATATAGTTATTGTTATCGTTATCTTTATGATTATCATTCTTGGTGTGATCGAGCCTTTAGTCCGACTTCACAAAAAACAAACTAAAGCATTTGCACTCTCGAAATAATGTGCAGAAATGGTACCTTTAGGGGTACAACAGCTCTTTAAAGATTCATAGTAGTAACATAAAGGTACATATTACTGTTCTAAGGTACTAAAGACATACCGTATGGGGGTATATTAAATACAAAGTTGCCCCAGTAACCGGCTGTTGTACCCCTAAAGGTACAATTTATGCACTTTTTTTCTGACAGTGTACCTGACATAGCCATTTCTAAGGACTTTTGTTTGTTTTAGTCTGACTGAAATTAAACTTTTAAAGTGCATGTAAACAGACTTAATTATGAGGTTTGCTTTCAGTTCGATTGCTGTTTATGTAGGCAGCTCAATAGGTTTTGTGTGTGAGGAGAGACAGATGTATCCTGGTGCAGCTAAGCTTTGAAGAGTCGGCCATCAGGTGTTTCGAAACTAGATGCAAAAGCGCCTGTTTGGCAATATTTTGGATTTTGAAAAGCCTGTTGACTTTTGCCGTTTAAGGTGATTTTGGAAGTTTTAACATTTGTTTCTTATTTAATTGGTTTCACATTGTTTGCTGATTTTTACTTTATCTAAACTTCACACGTCGATTAACCGGTGGGAAAATTTCCTCACCGTCACAACCCTACCATCAGGGAAGCTTTTAAAGCTCCGCATCATTTTTTCGACCACTTCACTGTTCCTCCTAGCACATTCTCTCTCAGCGTAATCTCCCTCCCAGCTTGCCCTGTGCACAAATCTTAAAAATTGCTCCAACATGACTTTAAATATCTTTCAAGATGATTTTTTTTTCCTCGCCGGGAAAGATCTGCTGTCCATTCGCTCGTGTTTCTCTCATCTAAATTCCCCCTCAGCCAGAGTAAAGTTTGTGACAGAACATCTCTGAAAATTGCCTTGCACCGACTCTGTCATTCCACCCCAATATTTCTCTTTCCGCCTCTCCGCACCTTGCGCTCTCTACAATCAGCAAAGTACTCGATTACCCTGTGGGCCGCATTCCCAAGCGTGACTAGAGAACCTGGCCTCGGAAGAATTCAGAGAATCACTTCAAGCTGCTAGGCGTCATGGCCGGAGCTTGAGCTGTGCTGCGGCCTGCTTGTTTTTAATGAAGACTGATGAAGTGTGCTCCAGGATATGCGCGAAGTTCAAACCTCTCCTGCTGCCTTAATTTACAGGCTTAGTCTTCCTTCCACATTTGATTAATCTTGCTCTCTCGTCTTCGCCGCATTAACACACCATAGTTTTTTTTCGCACGATTGCTTATCTATTTTTCTATCTCTCTCTTTTTATCGCTTTCTCCATTGCTCACTTGTTCCCGACCCTGTGCTCGGCAGGAGGGAGGCCGCTCTTCTCCTTTGAGGCTTCGGAACTCCCTTGTTTTTATTAGGCATCTTCAAATAGCCAATTTATCTAGTACCGCCTCCACAACATTTAATTAACTCTTCAAATAATGGACTGTGGTTATGCCATCCATTTGCAGAGGTAGAATGGAGAAACCAGTATCTATCTGGCTCATTGGGTGTGTTGTTTGCCAGAGATCTGGATCAGGACTTGTGGACATCAGAAGTAGTAATGGAAGACAACTACTAATTACTAATTTGTCATTTAAGGTATTCTTTTTATCCACGGCGAGTTACTAGTGCACTGGCAGGGTAAAGGTGTGAATTATGGGGTGTTTTTAGATG